TTTTTTGAATAGGGTAATTGATATTCCAAATGTTATGTTGTGTTTCAAATTTCAAGCTTCTACATTATTCAAGTCAAAAGATATAGGTTAACAAATGTCAACAAAGGTCAAAATCGAAAAATGAAAATATCCAAATGTTAAAACCCGTTCCTTTTTTGGAACTATAAAGCTGAAACAACTGAGCTGTTAACACAAACTGGCCAAAAGGATGAGGTAATTGTGTGCAAAGTCCCTTTTTCAAAAAACGTATCCTATGCGAGTTATGCCCCAGCCCCAAAATGTAAACAATTAGTAATTCAACCCGGATGTGCCACGCCCACCCCAATTTTTTTGCCATAGGTAAATTCATATTCAAAGTGTCTAGTTGTATTCCAAATATCAAGGTTCTCCATAAAATAGGTCATAAGATATACATACACCAAGATCAAAAAGACACAAATATGGTAAAACAAAACTCAAATTTGAAAAAATCACGAATTTCAATTTTGCTTTAAAAAAGCAATTGTTCTATATCTATGTAAAGTTCATGAGAAGAACATTAGGAAACCGAAAAAATTAACCCTCTAGGTTAATTAGGTCACGTGTTAGAGCAGTCCAAAGTTGCGAATTTGGCTTTTTACGGATAGCTATAAAATCGGAAGTACATGTCTGGGGTCAAAGGTCAAAGTATCAAATGATAGCCAAGGTCAATGACCTTTGACCCTAAAAAGGTCAGGGTCATCAAAGGTCAAGACATAATTTCGTTGAAATATTTCAATCACACCGGAAGTTATTCAACCGGAAGTGACGCAAAAATTTTGTTTACATGAAGACAGATCGGATGAAAAAACTCTATCAGCTGTACAGCATATTAAAACAAGATCTATGAAAAAGGAGTTTTTTGAAAAGTATCAAAAGGTTGATCATCTCACTCCAGCCATTATGCGAAGTATTTATGCTGATTTGACTGGAGATTCTTCTGCATCTGAAACTGAACTGATTAAAGGTGTGGACCAAAAGGCTGCAGAATTTCTCCTCAGTACTGAAGAAGAAGAAATAATCTATGACCTTCGTAAATTAAATGGAGAAAATGGTAAAACAAAATTTGATGCATTTTGGGAAGAGACCCAAAAATATATTGAAGTAATAGTCCCAGCAGTTCATGAAAGACGCCATGGTGAACAGTTGTACTTGCCTTTCATTATATCGATCGAACAGCTAAGAAATACAATTCAAAAACGACTTCCTACTTCAACTGATATTCCAAGCAATGAGTGGCTTCGTCTCCAGTTCTGGCCAAAAAATGTTACAAGCTTGCGTGCTTTACAGCACACAGGACGATTTGATTTAAAGTTTGTTGTTCAGCAGAGACTGCTTCGGGCAACCCATCCAGATGCAAAATATTGTGCTGTACAATATAAATATCTTAGGAACTTTGCCGTAAAACTCCGTAACTTTTCAAAATTGATTTATTTGGATGATAAATCAATTGTACCTTTAGGCTAACCAGACAGACCCATTTCAACTGGTGTTAGAGCTCACAACAAAAGTCTTGCTTCTCAAGGATTGGTTTCCCTTGACCATGACTTCCATATCCATGGTATTATTCCATCTGTTTGCTTCATCAGTTCAATACCAGAAGATATTAGTGATTCATTTTTTCAAGGACAGATTTATGTTACATGTAAAAACAAAGTGTTTGAGGCATCAGAAGCAACTAGGCATGGTACAGAAACATTAAAAATATTAAGAGACGTGTATAGTGAAGATGGTGTGTATCTTGATTCACCAATTTTGATATGCTACACAGACGGTGGCCCTGATCACAGGACCACATATCCTTCTGTACAGCTAGCAAGCATAGCTCTTTTTCTGCTTCTTGACCTTGACATGTTTGTAACTTGTCGTACAGCACCATGTCAGAGTTATGCAAACTTGGCAGAAAATGTTAATGCCATTTTAAACCTTGTCAAGAGATTAAATGGACGACACTGTGGAAGCAAGAGTTAAACATATGTCAACCATGAAAGATCTAAGATTAGCTTCTGCCAAAAGTCAAAATCTGAAACAAGCCATGATCAAGTCTGTTGAACCAATTATTCAAATGTTAATGGAGCGCTTTCAAAGATTGAAATTAAAAAATGAGTCAGTAATTGCCTGCAAGTCTGCTACTGGTGATGAAATTGATACCTTTATTAGTGCATTAAAACTGATTGACAACAATTTTAATGTAGAATCGCTTTCCAAAAAATCCATTGAATCGTGTCCAAAAATGATTGATTTCTTTGATAAGCACTGCAGAAAAAGACATTATATTTTTCAGATAAAAAAATGTAGTGAAATTGATGCCCCAAACTGTTGGTACTGTTCAATGTCTCCTTCTCGTCTAGACAAGGATGTGTTAAATGATTTAGATTTCATTCCCGATCCAGTTTTAAATGAAAATAAAACTGAATTTTTAAAATTTGAGGATGTGTATGGCACAGTTACTGATGATTCAGCTCGGCCTTCATTGAAACTTAGTGGTGCATGTGAGAGGGACAAACTTCACAAGACAATATTAGTAGCTGCAAAAGTGCGTTCAAAAATCTATTGTGGTGAGTGCAAAAAGCCCAGATGCATATATTCAAACAAAAAGCTTGACTTAAAGGAAACAAAAGCCATAAGTTCAATACAAAATAGCTCTAATTATATCTGTGGAGATTGGTTATTTCCAGAGGATAATCAGTGTTACGATACTATAATTGTAAAAGAAGGTCTAAGGTGCGGGGATCCAATGGAAGTATCTTATTATAGTGCCAAGCCATGTATAAGTATCCTACTTGCACTAATTTATTTTGCATTTAATATGTGTTATCTTTGACATCTTAAAGGCTTTCGGCCAATTCTCTTTCCTGTATCTAAGATATATTTTGAGTGCATTTTGTTTTAAAGGCATAATTACACACATGACATATCACCTTTAATCTTTTCAATATATTCATTGAGGCTGAATTTAAGTTGTTTGTTTCCAAAGGATATAAATAAAGTTTTAAAAACATTCCTTTTTCGTCTTCTTGAAATGCAGATTTTTTTTTTATATTTTTATCCCCCCCTGCTCCCTGCTTTTTTCAAAAGTTTTGCCCGTAATTCAACTAATTAAATTGGTGTGGCCTTACGAGTGTCTTTGTGTTACATTCTATTCCTCTCACTTGACTTTAACTATATAAACACATTGGTTACTAGGATAGGAATTCTGTAAAATCACTACTTAGCAACGTGTGGTGAAGGAAGAAAAAACTCGATCGATAATCAACATGTTAGTCAATAAGACCGTATTTACTTCCTTATGTGATTGATTCATATACTACAACTACAGATTCAATTGAGTTAATTTAACAGATTAAACAAATTCATGTCTTGTCCTTGTTCGTGTTTAAAAATTAAACTCATCCTATTTTTAAATGAGTTAATTTAATGATGACATGAAAAGTCAATAGGTCTTTTTGGGGGAAGAATTGATGGAATGTAGGGTGTATAGGTCTTTTTTGGGAGCTTTTAATATGTTCGCACTTTTTCCCATGAAATGAAATGGAATGGAGAAAGTGCGAACATATTGAAAGCTCTAATACTATTTATAATTGAAATATTGGATCTTTCTGCCAATTTTAGGGAAAAATTTTAAATTTTTAACCCATCATTTTAAGCTAATATTGGATGTTTATTAAAGTCACTTTTTTGTAAATAAGTAATTTTTATTAAAACAAAATAATAATTAAAGGGAAATAATACATATAATTAAGTTCAACTATGTGTTAGCTATTGTCCTGTATATCTACAACAATTAAAGGGAGGTAACAGTTTTCACAATACTGTATCCCTAAAGTTGAAGTATTATTAAACACCTTGACTACAACACGAACACTGGTAACTAAGTAGCGCTCATAAAGGAGCGGTCACGTGACCTTAAGTATACAAACATTATTTCCCTCTTAATAACCAGTAGCCAAGGATGTATAAAGATTTGACTCGATCGATAAATCTAGAAGATCGATAATCCATTGTATTGTCAGACATAGCGAGAATGTAACTAACAAACACATTGGTTGTTAGGTACCGATTTTAAAATATCACTCCTTAGCAACGAGTAGTGAATGAAGAATTTAATTCCCGTTCAATTTTTTGGAATCGTTCCAAGTTATCTCGAAATTGGAATTGATGATTTTGAAACTTTGGATAACTATTGCAGAGTTTTGCAAGTTGTCGTAATTCACTACTTCAACTTAGTAAAATTGATAAGTTGTTTTAACGAAATAACTACAAAACCTCAAATTTAGTATGTATAGTTTCTGAAGCAAATGTCCAAAAGTTACATATGCTTTAATTGACCGTACAGAGTCTTGTTTAATAAAATTGTCACAGTTGATTACTATTTTCTTCACACTTTCATCCTCATTAATATCTTTGTCATATGGTTTGATTTCCACGGGAATTTCCTTTTTTTATATTTTGAACGCACATAAATACGTGGAATGAAATGAAAACTACTAAAAACAATATCACAGGTAATACAACACATAGTGGTATTAAAAACAAACTAAATATTAAAAACAAACAATGTCTAATCTATTTAAAATTTAAAATATAAAACTTAATGAAATGGCTTTTAGGGGCCATTGGACGTATATAACCTTACTTAGCTAACTATATTCTAAGTATGAAAGATTGAATGCCAAATGTTTAATGGGAAGTCGATAATTTACTTTCATCTAGATTCATAAACCCGCCTGCAGTGGACAATTGACTAAGAGGCCAGAGGACAATACATGATGATCAAGAAAGCCATGTATACATCTTTGACATCCACTTGACTGGTCATACTCTATGTAGTGCCCATCAAGCGATGTCAAATACACAGATGGGTAAAATAGGGGAACTTGATATTAAATGTCCATATACTCTAAAGGGTACCCTTATCAATAGGAAAGAAATTCAAGAGATCATGGTAGACAAATTAAATGAAATGCATTAAGGAGCATCAGCACCAAACGGGCTATATAGCTCCAGAACACGGTGTAAATATCATGTCATAAAAACAAAACTAAAACAATAAACAATATATTAAAAAAAAACAATGTCACAGAAAAAGTCACTCAATGACTTCAAAACACATCTGTAAAACTAGATCACAGGTTACACCACATGGTGCTATTAAACACAAACAAAATATTAAAAACAAACAATGACTAATCATTTTCAAATTTAAAATATAAATTCACTTATTTCAAAAATCGTCAACCTTCTCATATACAGAGGGCTGCACAAAAAGCTGAAATAAAGATCCAGCACGGTAGTGCTATAATTTTATAGGTGTATGATGCTTTCACTCAATCAGTATGTGTTTCACTGACTGGTTGAGTCTCTCAGTTGGTGAGGTGAGTGTGTCCAAGACGAGAGCGACACAAAGCAACTTCATTTCTCCTGTTGGCACAACAGGAGGAAGGCCAGTCTCCTAGGAGAGGCTTAATGGCATGAAGCTTGTTAAAATCGGTGAAAGGCAAAAAATAGGGGGGAAAAAGGCAGTGACAAAGCAGCCTTAGCCGCCGCATCTGCCATGTCATTCCCCCGTATATCCATGTGACTGGGGAGCCAACAAAAAAACAATGTCTTTTTCGGCCCAGAGAGAGTTTGTATATATCCCCGATTATTGGGTGTACAAGCTGGGTGTTATTAATAGCTTGTAATGCGGACAAAGAATCAGAAAATATTATACATTTTTATAATGATGTAGAGGACTGAAAGAACTCAAGTGCCTGTAAAATAGCAATGAGATCTGCTGAGAAAATGGAGGCTGCTGATGGTGTAACTGTACCGGCTGCTACCTTATCATCATCCTTATATCCATCTGTATAGAAAGGTGAGTAATTCCCATATTGATACCCTAGTTCTAGAAATTTAGAAAATATTGAAAAATGGCTCAGGATAAGACATTTTTATAAGTATTATGTTCATGTACAGAAGGAAATGGCTATAGTGGGTCTACTTGGGTCTGATTTTGTAGTCTGAGACCAAGTCAAACAAGATATACATGGACAGAATAAACTTCAATGCGTCAATAGACTATTTGAGTTTAACATGGAGCAAATTAACCCTGTATATCATATCGTCACCTTGCTTAAATAATTGCCTAAGTCACTTTTTGACGATTTTGATATTTTCGCCTAATTCAACAGTTCATGATGCTGGCCACATTCTAGTATAATTGACAAAGCCCTACATTGATAATATCATGGCGTTTTGCCCATTTAGTATAATTGCCCAAGTCAGGTTTGTGACTTAGGCAATTTCATATGTTGCCTAAGTCAGGAAAATGTGACTTAGGCAATTTTATTAGCTTACAAGATGGCCGCACGTGTTTCAAGACTAAAGAAAAACATCCCTGCAAATGAAGTTATTTCCATGATAGAAGATTCCTTCCCTCTTGGTAAGTTGTCAACTTTACATTTGAGTGTTACCTACCTAAAGTGTTTATCATATGACAAAATATAGGACTACCAAAGAGCTAGGTTATCATCGGACCACAATCTTTATTCAGGCTCAAGAAATCACCTCTACCCCTCAAGGGAGATAACTCTTCATACAGACATTATATATATATATAGACCACAATATGACAATATGATAGTACAATATTACAGTAGCATGACAGTTTATCTGGATCGACGCAGGTGCAGTTGGCAGTGATGCATTAGGCACTTCATTAATTCATTGTAGGCTGAGGTGTGGGTTGGAGTTGGATATGAAATAAGTTGCTACATGGGATTGTTATTTTAAAGTAATTTTGTTCACTTTTCTAGCTGATGACCTCGACTATGCCAACTCTGATCATTCAGTCAATGCAAATGACGAGACCAGTGTGCTGAAGATATGGCCCTGATGCATGTTGCGCTTCTATCTGATGCAATCCTAGACCAACCTAAAACAACGCAAAACCTGCTAGAAAATAGCTCAGCCACTCCAATTGAAGAATCAATCCAGAGGGCCGTTGAAGCTGCCAATCTGTTGAAACCAAATCAAGAAGACTCGGATGTTGCTGATGAGTACGACCATGATCTAAACTATGACCCGACATCCACCACTGAGTCCTCTGAAAATGAAGACCAAGAAGCCGTGGAAGAAAAGAAGTGCAAAGTGATGTTAATCTAGTAGAGTCTGAAGCAATCGATGAAAACAACAATGTAAGTTTTCGCCAGCATATTCAACTTTGATTACTAGAAATGATTGTAGTGAATTCCTTTACCAACCTTTTATCTATTCTGTGTTTGAAAAGATATTTTTTTCCCTTTCAGACAACCAAAAAGAAACGACATAAACACACCTCCCCACATACATGGAAGCAAAATGAGTGTAAGGCCAAACGGTTTAAGGGAATGCCATATAAGACCAAAAGTGGCAAAGAAGTGATTGAAAAGATTATGTGTCCCCCCTGCAATTCTGCCAGAGAGTCAAGTCTCGGAAATGCCAGTCAATAACTGAAGATCAGAGGCAGTGGATATTTGAATACGTTAGGTCAATGAACAGCTGGGAAGAACGCCGGTTGTACATTAGGACATTGATCACAAAGGTAATCATGGTAATCCAAAACCCATTATTACTAATATCCGAACCTCTACAACACCCCAGAAGAAATGTTTCACACTTTACAATTAGGCATATCCATTAAGGGAGGCTAGAACAAAGACCATAAATGTTCATTTTCGGTTACTCAGTCATATCATACTTTATTCCAGATCTCCTTAAAACAGAAGAAAGTTGCCGAGGGATCCCGGCGTACGTCTTCATATTCCTACAAACTGAAACTTGAGGATGGAACAGCTTACCAAGTGTGGAAGAAATTGTTTGCCTCAACATTCGGTCTCCCTGAACGAACTATTGCTTCATGGGCAAATGAAAACCCCGACGGCTATGATAACCACGCAGCAGCCATATCAACCAAAACTGGACCCAAAAGTGGTAAGTTGACCATAGATTATTTTGATTCAATACCTTCACCAAGTTAAGCAATTGATTTAGGAATGCAATAGATTGGAGAAGAACAATGGATGTATCTTTTCGCCATTAGGATATTGATTTAGGTGATTTGATGTTCCAAATAGAACATATAAAATATCTCCTTACTTTCTTTCAGGTAATAAAGCAAAACTTCCTCCTGAAGTCACAGATTTTGTTAAGGCCTGGTTGAAGGACCTTCCCACTGTTGACTCGCACTACTGTAGGAGCTCTGAGACCTACAAAGACAAGAAGTTTCTACATCCAGGCACAACTATCGCTCAACTTCACCGAGAATATGAACAGACAGCAGCAACTACTGAAGTGAGGGCTGTTCGCATCAAGTACTTCACAGAATGTTTCCATGAAGGCAATTACTCGGTCTTCGTCCCCCGCAAGGATCAGTGTGATGTGTGTGTCTCTTTTAAACATGGTAATCTGACTAAGGCTGATCATGATGCACATATCAACAGGAAAGATGAAGCAAGAAATGAGAAAACCCAGGACAAGGAATCTGCAAACAACATGAAGTCTGTTTGGACTATGGACTTGCAAGCTGTTCTCCTGTGCCCACAAACCAAAGCAAGCAGCCTGTACTACAAAACTAAACTGCAGGTGCACAATTTTACCCTCTTTGACTTAAACTCAATGGACGGGTATTGCTACCTATGGGATGAGTCGGAGGGTGATCTCAGTAGTGAGGTCTTTGCACACCTTCAGTATCGCCATTTCGAAAGAATAATCAGAGAACATCCTGAAATTAAGGAAATTGTGGTGTGGAGTGATGGTTGCGGATATCAGAACCGTAATGTGAATGTCACTAATTCTTTCTCTGAGCTTTCCAGGAAACACGAGGTTGTCATTACCCAGTAATACCTAGTAGCCGGTCACACACAAATGGAATGTGACAGCATGCATAGCACAATTGAGCGCAGGATGCTGACAGATATCTTTACCCCAAGAGATTACGTTGTCATACTTCAGACTGCCCGAATCAGACCATCACCTTACATTGTGAAGATGGTCAAGCATAATGAAATTCAGAAATTGAATGAGTCTTACTTATTGAGCATCAGGTCAGGCAAAAGGGCTGGTGATCCTACTGTCCATGACTTGCGGGGTCTTCAGTACAGAAGTGACGGCAAGGTGTACTACAAGCTTTCCTTCTCAGACAACTCCGATTATGAAATACTGCCACAGAGACAACATATTCCAGCTGTTCCAATTAAATGGGTCCGAATGTTTCCAGGTGCTCTTCCTATCAAGCAGAGGAAAGTTGATGACTTGCAGTCCATGAAGCATGTTATGCCTGTCGAGTGCCATAACTTCTTTGACAACTTGCCACACCAGTAAACATCACTCAGCAGAAAGACAGATGACAGATTTTGGGCAGTATATTGTGAGGCAACATTGCTTTATAGTCTTTACTGAGAAACACTGAATTTGCCTAAGTCACTAGATCCGCAAATAATTTTGCCTAAGTCACATGTATAAAAGCCTAAGTCACAAATGTATGTTCGTAAATTTGCCAAAGTCATTTTACTCTCTTATGTAATAGTTTTGAAACACATAATTGGTTGTATTTTAATAGTCATATATTATCATATCTTCATGTATGAAAATGTTTAATAAATATCATGCCAAAACGAGGGATTTCACAATACTTAACTGAATTCCTAGTCAGTATGTTAGTAGATAAAGTAAAAGGGTCTACTCAAAAGAGTAACCGAATATGGGTTAAGTTACAAATCAGTATCATAAACCGAATTTCTGGAAAGTGAGTTGGCTTGACACCATTATTCCAAATTTCGATGATGCTCAAGAAATCCACCCCTTGCTAATGAACTTCTTTAGTCAGGAAATTCATTGGTTTTATTATCTTATGATGGCGTTATATTACTTGTGTATGTAATTTTGTCATTTATGAGTTTTCATTTCTGGTCAATCGATTTCACCAAACGCAATCCAGGCAACCCAGAGGCGATCCCAGTGTCATCGCTACGAACAAATTCGCTTCCCACAGCAATGCCAGTACCGCATTTCCAGTCATTTTTGGATGAACCACAACTACAGCGATCAGAAAAAACATGTATGGGTGGACTGTCGAAATTCTAAATTGATTTCAACTACAGCTGTGTTTCCTACATTCTTAATTATATGTTATATGGTGCTTCTAGTGTGTTCGCACATGTGACATCTCAACTGTATCTTCAGCAAATTCATATAGGTTCGGACAGTTACACCATTGAGACTAACTGACCAATTCATGTTGTATATTATATTTCATTTTTTCCCCTTTTCTTTGAACCATATATTTCTTTTTCCGTTTCAAATAAAAAAAAAGTAAAAAATTAAATTTACTATTTAATTTTTGTCGTTGAAGTTGAAGTAGTATAGTAATGTGTTGCGAATTGTATTTTTTGTTGGTCCCTGATAATCCATAAACCGTGGTCACTGGTCAGTATTGATTGAGTCAGAAATAGCAGGTGATTCTATTTTATGACCAATGTGGACATTACGATAATTAGACCAACTATAGATTTTACTATATCGAATGACGAGTGGTCAGTAAGGGTCTAAGTATGACACACCACTTACGCCAGATTCCATGACCAAATACGGAGTGTGTGGGGTCATTGGTTTTAAGTTGAGAATATACGGCGGGCGGAATATCAGGGAGTCAAGTGTAGGGTTTTATAAACGTAACTTGTATCTTTAACTATATAGTTGCCAATACGTAACCAGTGCTGTGTTTTAGAAGCAAGAGTGAAACCTCATCTGACTAAATAATAGAAAAAAACATAATTCTGTGGCACCATGCAAGAACCAGATAACCCACTTGACCATCAAAAGTGAGTTCAGTGCATTGTAGTATACCTAAAGAATCGTTTTAATTTTAAAAGAACAATATTAGTTCAAAAAAAGTAAAATAGGTGTCACTAACCGAGTAAAATATAATGATTGTCATTTTCCATTCATGAAGCGGATAACTCTCAATTTCAAGACGGCAGCGCCCATGAAAAGGCCATGATCAGCAGCAAGAACTTTGTCTTTAATGATGTTTTAAGGGATATTGAGATATTGGGATATTGCAGGGAAAATTTTGAGTTCAGGGTTTTAGGTTAATTATGTGTTGATAACATAACAACAACTCTGCCAAATGTTACATTTCCTCAGATACAGATAATGAAGGTGACGAGCGTGATGAAAATAGCAGTGACAATGAAGTGACACACCTATTGATTTAGACAGTGGTGACGATTACAAGCCAAGCAATGATGAATTGGACACACAGTTTTAGTGAAGTTGGAGAGGAAAAATTAAATTGTGAACGTCCATGGCAAACCCAGCGTCAAGTCGCCAAATCCCGTCAAGTTTACTATTTAATTTTTGTCGTTGAAGGTGAAGTAGTATAGTAATGTGTTGTTAATTGCATTTTGTGTTTGTCCCTGATATTCAGCCTTATATTTGTTTCCATAAACCGTGGTCACTGGTAAGTATTGAATGAGTCAGAAAAAGTAGGTGATAATATTTTTTGTCCAAATATGGACGTAGAGATATACCAACTAAAGATTTTACTATATCGAATGACGGGTGGTCAGTAAGGGTCTTAGTATGACTCGCCACTAACGCCATATTCGATGACCAAATATGGAGAATGTGGGGTGGGTCATTGTTTAGGGTTTTATAAACGTAACTTGTATATTTAACTATTGGATACAGTTGCCAGTATTAACCTTATGTTGTGTTTTAAATACAAGAGTGAAACAACCGTACGCCAGTCTGAATAATAAAAAGATAGCTTGCCAGGCAACGTAATATACGCCCACTGGCAGCTTTGGTTTTGAATAAAGATATTTAGCAGTACAGTAACAATCGCCAGTATGAAATATTCAACCTTCAGTCATACACTTCTTTTGAACTCTTTAGGGTGATACTGAATAATATAGAGTATGAGTTATTGCCCTAGTTCTTGAAATTTTTTAATTTTTAGTTCGTGAAAACTCTAGAAGACAAATATTCAATCTTCAGCGCGGTACTGAATAATAAAAGAATCATACCTTCTAGAGTTTTTACGAGCTACAAATTAAACGAGTTTTCAAGAACAAGGGCAATAACTCATACTTAATATTTTTGTATTTTCTGATTTTCAATAGGCTTTATACTTGGGTGATAACAAACACTCAAGCCAAATTTCGTTCAAGTACGTCAATAATTGTGCCTTCTACAGTGTTTACAAGCTAAAAAATTGAACGTGTTTTCAAGAACAAGCGCAATAACTCATACTCAATATTTTTCGATTTTTTTTATTTTCAATAGGGTTCATCCTTGTGTGATTGCGAACACTCACACCAAGTTACGCCAAAATCCGTCAAGAATTGTCCCTTCTAGAGTGTTTACAAGCAAATATTTGAACGCGTTTTCAAGGGCAATGACTCATACTTTTTTAAATTTTTCAATACGGTTTATTCGTGGGTGATAACCAACACTCATGCCAAGTTTCGTCAAAATCCGTCAAGAATTGTGCTTTCTAGAGTGTTTACGAACTAAAAATTCAACGCGTTTTCAAGAACAAGGGCAATAACTCATAGTACATATTTTTTGATTCTTCTGATTTTCAATAGGGTTTATCCTTGGGGGATTACAAACACTCACACCAAATTTAGTCAAAATCCATCAAGAATTGTGCCTTCTAGTGCGTTTACAAGCTAAAATTGAACGCGTTTTCATGAACAAGGGCAATAATTCATACTAAATATTTTTCAATTTTTCTGATTTTCGATAGGGTTTATCCTTGGGTGATTACAAACACTCACACCAAGTTTTTTATCAAAATCCGTCATGAATTGCACCTTCTAGAGTGTTTACGAGCGTTTCAAGAAAAGGGCACTCATAGTAAATATTTTTCCATTCGTCTGATTTTCAATAGGGGTCATCCTTGGGTGATTACAAACAAGCATACCAAGTTTCGTCAAAATCAGTCAAGAATTGTGCCTTGTAGAGTGTTTACGAGCAATTGTGAACGGACGGACGGACATGGGTGACGGCAATATACGCCCCCCCATTTCATGTGGGCGTATAAAAATGAGTATAATTGTGGTCTGATTGATTAGAAACTACAGTTGCAGAAAACCCTGCGTATCTCGGTTTCACTTAGTTCTGGAGCCATTCAATCTCTCATGGTACAGATGTGATTTGTTCACCACTTGAAACGTTAATTAGCCACTGTAATTTTATAAGTGAATAAGCCTATTGAATGGTATTTATAACCACGAACCTGACTCAGTCTGTTGCACGAAGTTGATAAGTACAAAACCAACAAGATTCTCAAAAGTAAGTTCAATTCCATTCCTTTATTTAAAATTCTGAGTATTATGTTTGTATTTCCAGTAGTGCATGGAAGCTGAAAATGTACTTGTCTTATCATGTACTCTGGCCATGTGGATATATTTATCAAACTGTAAAACGAAATAAAAACTTATAAGGTTATTGGCCTCTGGAGGAAAGTGTAAGAATGAGCATTTGATAAATTCCTCACGAAATGAAAGGAACCCATTATAATGGCTACTGGGAGGAACGTGAAAAAACAATGTCACCACTGACTACGAAATCTCACAAGGGCCAACTTGTAGATTTCCTGATGAAAAAATTTCGATAATTTAAGAACGTAATTTTTTCAAGTCTATTACGAGGGTTCTAATTTTTCAGATACAGTCACGTCAATGGAAGATGTTTTCGCGAAGTGTAAAGTTATTGTTGGAAATTAAATAAAATATTCGGATTGTTCAAATAATTATCATTGGTCAGCCGTCCAGGTAAATTTAAAGTGTTCAGTGTTACCCATTTTTGGGCAACTTTGAACGCCCATATTTTGTTCCTTAAAGTGTACAAAATGTATAAAAAGTGTATTAGGTATTTTTACATTTAAATTTTGTAAAACCCCAAAAGCTTGTTTATAAAAGAATCCTGAATGTGACGATATTAATAAATATTATTCCTTTGTTTAGTAGAATTACAAACCGCAGCATATTATCATGATATGCTACGCTGCAGAATTGAATATCATAGCAACAGAACCCCCTAGAGGAGCAGGCGGTAGAATTGACATGACCTAACCTCCATCTCAAAGCCGAATGGTCCTCAACCTATTTTTTCAAGAATTGTACTTGTGAAATATACTAAATATAATTCAGATATCAACATTACGGGAGATAAGTCGGACAAAAAAAATGTTACTGAAGTAATAGTGCATACTCGATCATACTTATGTCATTTATTTAATCTACTTTCCAAAACAAAATGTACACAAATGAATTTATTTCACTTAACATCTCTTTAGATGAGTAGAGTCGTGAAAAATTGTTGTTGTTGGTGTGACCTACATAAGCAATAACGGTTCGACTTTTAAGGGAAGTAACTCTTGTCCAAAAATAATTGTATGCGAATGTATCTGTCTTTGTCTATCAGGTGGTCAAATTTTTCATCATTTAAAAGACTAGTATTTGTTATTAAAGAATAACTTCGTATAATTAATCCAAGAAGCAATTTCCTGAAGGATGACAATTAAAATTTTTGTGTGATATTCATAATGTATTCTGAACAGAGTTCACTTTAAGGGAGGTAACTCAGTACAAAAAGTTTATTTTCATATTTCAATTGAATATTGATCAAAATTTTTGAAGTATAACGATTGAATTCAAAAGATAAACATTTCTATTATTTTATGTGTGGAATATACTTTCAATTGAATATTCACATAGAGTATAAATGAATGTAGGTCACCTGCATATATTATGTTGATTATCGTATCTACTTTCAAGGGAAGTAACTCTAATTCAACACTTCCATTGTTTTCAAGTTCGGTTTTTATTACGAGATTGAAAATGCAATTTTAAACTTCAATAATACGTTGAATGTTAATGTGATTGCACAGTTTATTTCATCAAGTGATCATATGTACATTCTATCAAATCGTTATATAGTAAAACATTCGATCTTTGATTTGATCTCCATTGTTCATAGCACATATTGTTAGCTTCTACGTGTAAATTTTGCTTGTGAATTACTATACATTGTTCAATTCTATTTTATTTTACTTTGTTACGTTCTTTCTAGTTTGACTAAATCGACAAGTTCAGTAATAGATCGTGTCGAAAATTATAGATTGCAGTAGGCATTCATTTCATTAGGCTACAAAGCTATCGTGTATTTCACGTTAGTTTTATCAATTCTTGTTCTATATTCGTGTATATTCACAATGTAATTTAGATCCACGTTTTAGCATTATCTACGAAGTGATCATTATTGTACACTTGTACTTAACTATTGAGGTCAACATACAGTTGCGCCGATATAAATTACTATTGCGAGAAAATATTGTTAATTTGTCGACAGCCTTGTCTAATATTTCACTGTAGTGAAAATCAACATATTCATGCTTTTCTTGATTTCCTATAGTTGATTTTACTATAGTTTAGTGTATAAGTTTATCGCGGAGTGTCCGTGTACTCATCTTACAATATAAAATAGTAATTATGGAAAGTTTACTTCGAACCTATCGAACTAGTTTTAACCCAATGACTAATGGGTTTGTGTGTTACTTGCATTCTCTTTTAGGGGTGCACAATAAGTACGAATGTGCTGCTAAGGAGGTTCTTTACCTAGCCGAATCCAATGGTGTAACCTATACCGATAGCGTGGCAAATCTTGCTCATCGTATAAGAGGTGTATGTGTGACAGTCAATTCTCTCGCCAAGGTTAACTTCGATATGAACAAACTTCAGGTTTTCTTAAATTTGGAATTTGAATTACACGCACCTCAAGCTTTAGTTCCCACGAAAGGTAAATCAACTCTGATTTCGAAGACGTTATGTACGAAACTTTCTCTTATAGAAGTGAACATTAGACTTACTAAAGTGAATAATCGTTTGTCTAAAAATGAGAAACGATTACGTATAAAATTAACACAAGCACAACGCACAAATGTAGCGAATAATAAGGAGGTCAATCTCTTGCGTACGTCTTTAAATATACGACCTTCTAATTCTCAAACATTCTTCTATAAAAACAAGGTGGAAGAACTAAATAAATCATTGGATCAACAAGAAAAGCGTCACAATGTAGCACTAAGGGTTTCAGACAAGCGTCACGAGTTGAAAATTGCGGCCATGTCAAGAGAAATGACGAAACTTAAAGAACAATTACATATGGCATATGTGAGACGAATAGAATTACTAGAAAAGGGTATAATAGATATTGATAATTCAGCAGATCAGATCGAATTTTCAGAGATCAGTAAAAATTCATCTCTATGGAATATCAGAAGAAAACATGCGACATCAGTATCAAATATTACTTCAGATTGTATCCCCGAAAGCACTGTTACCACATCAATCTGTCCGGGTACTGGAAATGTCGCTATGCCTTCTCTTAAATCTATTAATACTCAAAGTACTTTCCACATACCAACTCAACACACGGGTAGCAATCCGGATAGTTCCTCCTCTCACAACTCTGACGACATCACGGATACTACTAAATGTAGCATGCAATTGTCAACTAATGAGTCAAGTGGAAACTACAATCCACCAACAGCGTATGGGGAACATAATATGAAGGTAAAACTAGAAAATGAGGATGATTTCAAAATTAAAGTCGATCCACTGGATAACTTCGAATACGAAACAGCGATAGAATCGGGAGTTGCTACGATGTCGGATTCTTGGAACTATTTTGACGAACCCGAATCCCACTCCGTTAATCCTGCAGATACACTTCTGAAACCTGATGAAATCAAGAAGGAAAATGATATTGAGGTTACTGGTGAACCTGATAATAGAATCCTTACTCCAGATGAAATAAAGAAAGAAAGAGACGAGGTTGCTATCTCCGAGGAAACGGATTGTAGCCAAGACTCTTTTGATGCATCACATCATGGCGATGCAAGATCACCTGCGAATGTCGAAAGATTGAATCTGATATCATCTCCCAATCTTGCCAACCAAGTACGTCCAAATTTTACATTCACAACACAAAACCCTGAGCCCGTGAGTCTGGCCACATTAGATTTTTCGAAAACTAAAGTGCCTAGAGTCCCTGCAAAAAAAGGTCGACCTCGTAAGGCTTATAGTCTGTTGAACAATCCACATAGTGAATCAGATCCCACAGGTTCTAGTTCTGTAGAAGGAAAACCTTCTAGTACTGAAGGCGAACAATTCTCCAAAGACTCCACTCACGCAATTGACATTAGCAATACTGTCGAAAATTCGTCTGAATCGCAATCATCATCAAACAGGAAGAGACCAACGCCCGTGGCTCTCTACTCTTCAGGGAGCTTCCAAGACATCATCCGAAAAAAGTTATCTAGTGGTTGCACGACTGTTAGAATTAAGACAAAGAGGAAACACCCGGAAGATGATAGTTCTACTTTTGTAGTAAAGAAAAAAAACGAAAATTCGGAACCACAATTTCGATTTATATCAGTTAAAAACATTGCAGGTAAGCAATTTGAATTGAAAGCGCCGGAGGATTGTTCAGTGGAGGTGACTACGCCAAATTGGGGTGAATACCCTAGAGTAAAGCATCCCAAGAACACGCAAAGCATCACTTCAATTAGTAAGCCAACAATTCACGACGTACGATCTTTACCCGACTCAGTCAAAACGGATCATTCATATTGCGCAATGGTCATATTAGAAATGCATCCATGTTGACATTTATCCAGAAAAAACTCTTTAAGATATGCCACATACACTTAATTGCGCAAACGCAAATCCTTGCATTGGTTCGTAACGATAAATCAACGTCTGCTTCGATTAGTGCCCACTGGAATTGTTCTATGGTTGAGATGTAGAATTTAAGAGCGATGTAAGTTCATTCTCACATTTAGCTGTTGGTCACTTCACCACACTCACAATTCAGGAGATATATAACATGCTTAGATATACAGTTAATATTTTGTTTATTGTTTAACGAAACCGTGTTCTGTAAAATACCCGGTCTTTAGGGATAGTAACACTAGCTCCTATCAGATCCGTGCATAGATGGCAGCGATTGTCTCCTCATTAAATAACTCCAATTGGTTCATTGTTTAGATTTGAATCGTGATGATGTGAGAGGTTTCCGGATGGGTGGTGGCTTTTTTATAACTGGTGATGCATTTGGTATTCCGAACCAATATATCTGATATCATGCTCCTTTTCATCATCATAATTTTCCATGTAAACAACGCTATCTCGTTTATTATCGCCGTTGTAGATTTGTTGATATTTTTTATAGTTTTTCTTAGTCTACGTATGCTTATAGACGGGACTGGGATTTTGCACGTGTGCTGTTCTCTTTTAATAGAATTTTGTATTACCATCAGACTATTTTAACGCCTTAATGTCTTAGCCCGGTTCCAACTGGCAGAAATGATTGGGAATCTTTTATAATAAGGGTTGTAAGCGTATAATACAATATTAATAGTCAAATTGCACGCACGTGATAGTTCACCTACATATTAGTGATTATCATAAGGATACAGTCAGCTTTGATCACTATATACTATACTATATACTATATAAACAAAAAAACAACTTAATTTGTCACATTATTTCCTGGCCTTATTTACGGGAGCCATTATACTGAACACTGGTAGGTCATGAAACATGACTTTGTTGGTAATGTGTTCCGATATGTTTGGAATTGGAATCCATATTATGGAGTCCTCAAAGCAATTAATGTTTTTGTTATTCAAACAGTAATATTAATTAACATAACTTGAGGTTTACAGATTGGTTTTTGATATCTCCATTAATACACTTCCCTTTTTCCATCTTAAAACCTTTATTATATGTAATCTCCACCCTTTGTCGTTATTAAAATCAGTGTTATTTATTATCAAGTCGTCCTTGATTCAATCGGCCTTGATCACTACAAACAAACAAAAAAACATCTTATTTTGTCACATTATATTTATGGGAGCCATTATACTGAACACTGGTAGGTCATGAAACATGACTTTGTTGGTAATGTGTTCCGATATGTCTGGAATTGGAATCCATATTGTGGAGTCCTCAAAGCAAATAATGTTTACTTGTTATTCAAGCATTAATATTGATTAACACACCTTGAGGTTTACAGAATGGTTTTTGATATCTCCATTAATACACTTCTTCCCTTTGTCCATCTTGAAACCTTTATTACATGTAATCTCCATCCTTTGTCATTATTAAAATCAGCGTTATATATTATCAAGTCGTTCTTAATAAAGTCGGCCTTTATCACTACAAACAAACAAAAAATCGACTTATTTTGTCACATTATTTCCTGACCTTATTTACGGGGGCCTATTATACATTCTTTGTCCATCGTGTAGCCTTTTTCACATGCCAGCCTGGCATTTCCACACTTCATTGAAATGGTAGTATTTGCTACATCAGGAAAAGTCATACAATCTGTAAAATTCCTTTGATAATTTAAATGTCCCTATTTAATACTCGACCCACCGACAATTATTACTATAAATTACCGTACTAATGTCAGGCCTTCATTTATCCTGTATTTAATCTGGCTAACTCGATGATCTTTGACAATGGCGTTTCTACTATAACGAAATGATGAAAAAAACACTAATAAGCTTCGATATGTAAAATATGTGAATTTGAATGTGGAAATAACTCTCAAGCTTAGATCTTTTACCATACCATTTTAACACTAATAATTGCTACACATGTACATCGATTTAGATCTGTTTTCAAATGCATCAGGCCCTGAAATCAAGCAATAAAACCCAAAATTAACACTTACACATTTTCTTTGTCTATCAGTAAAACTTATAATTGACATTTAAACCATGAATGACCATTTGATGATAATGATGTTGAGTTAGTCATCTCTCGTTATGGAAACAACTGATAAATCTGGAATAGGAATCCAGATTGAACCCAAAAAGCTAATATATTAATATTAATTATCATACCTAGAGGTTTGCACACTGGCTTTTGATATTTCTATATATCTTTCATTAGGTAAAAAAAAATGTTCTTAAAATTATTCATGTCCAACAGGAAGTATATTTAGGTCAAAATTTCATGGTTATTTGCTATTATTTGGGGCAATTTTACGCCCAGTAGCCACTGGCTTGCGGACTTTTTGTGCTTGTTCTGGTAACAGGCTTTGTGTGTGCGCCTTCTTTTTGGGATATCAAAAGGGCCGAGCTGATATTCAGTCAATGACTGATAAAAGGAATACAGCCAGATCAACACCCCATCTGCTATTATATAAATGTACAATGTTACTTCGCTGGGATTTTTCTACTATCTTTTTCTCATTTTATCATGTGCTTGACGCAAGTGGTTGTATACCGGCATATGATCTGGCGAAGATAACAAGCTAATTGTCAAAAAGTCATAAATTTACAGTTTACATAATAGAATGTGGCATTTCCACTTAACCATTCCTTTACTTACTTCATCTTTAAACCTTTATCACATGCCATCTCAACACTGGTCGTTGTTATTAAAATCAGTGTTTTTTTTTATATATATAAGGATCAGTCAAGCAATCTGTAAAACTCCCTTGATATTATTTGTTTCCCTTCTATAATACCGACTCTTTTAGACTGAATTCCACACTCTCATTGAGCGTGTACAACCTCCATATTCTGTGACCTAAAACAAATGGCTTTCCCTCTAAGCTTGTGTGATGTGTCCGATTTTAATATGGAAAGCCTCGATGAACTTAAGTCTTCTCAGGATATCCCCTTCTTTGTTAGTCAATAAATTGTTTCCGAAGTTCCAAATGTTTTTCATTAGTAATGTGTTCCGATATGCCTGGAATTGGAATCCATATTGTCCTCAAAGCAAATAATGTTTACTTGTTATTTAAGCATTAATATTAATTAACACACCTTGAGGTTTACAGAATTGTTCATATCTCCATTAATACACTTCTTCCCTTTGTCCATCTTGAAACCTTTACTACATGTAATCTCCATCCTTTGTCATTATTAAAATCAGCGTTATATATTATCAAGTCGTTCTTAATACAGTCGGCCTTGATCACTACAAACAAACAAAAAATCAACTTATTTTGTCACATTATTTCCTGGCCTTATTTACAGGAGCCATTATACTGAGGAATGGTAGGTCAAGAAACAGGACTTTGTTCAGACATATATGCACATCACCGTTTCTGCATTTTATGTAACAAAAATCGGGTGACTCCATCTAATCAAACGTCTCTAAAAACTAGAGCGATGACTCGAAGTTCCTTTCTAGGCAGCAATTCTGAATAGGCTCCCGTTGGTTTCTATGAACTCGTTTGTTTGCATTGAAAACATGTCTCTTGAAATGTGCGCAGTGGCATCTTCCTTTTCTTTGAGACTATGAGTACAGATTGATATCTGCTATATAGAAACCAGGAATTCGACACAACAATGATACAGTATGCCAGAATATATACATGTACCACCTACTGGAACGATAGCTGAAAAGTAGGACGTAAAACATTTTATTTCATTTTCATTAGAACGATAGATATATTTGAACAGAGCAGTACACATGTTCTATTGCCTGTTGAAATTCAAACATTTCTGATTTAAATGAGATAAATAAATATTAAAATTCTGTAACCATGTACGTAAAATCTAATTTGAAGAACTAGCTGCTGTTTTCCGTTATCACTATTATAACCAACATTGAAATGACCACACCTCAATGACTACCTGAAAGTATATAATCCAGGTACTATAGAAGCCTATCGTGAAGACTTTACCACATGCTACACCACAATTGTCGTCTTTAATGAAATCGGCGTATTCTATATTGGGAATAGTCGATTAATGTGGAAAATGCCTCTGTTTTATGGTTTCCCTTGTACACTTCCAACTCGACTAACTACGTCCCGACAATCTCTTTTTTATAGATTTTTTTGCCTTTTTACATCTGGTACACTTAACAAATTGTCGAGTTACCAAAAAGTTCTTTTGACTGTTGCAATTCAAGCATTTGCTGATTTTAAGTAGATAAATCAATATTCAATTTAGTAACCATATACTATACGAAGCGTAAAATCTGTTGTAAAAAAACAAACTGAATGTTGTTTTCCGGTCCACTCGGATTATAATCCACATTAAAATCACCACACCACACCACAAGGACAACTTAAAATCTGTACTGAAAGTATATAAAGCAGGCACTATAAATAGCTATTAACTAAGAAACAATGGGTTTATTAGAAATCAGTAACAACATGATATGGGTTAATGTGGGAAGCGTCGATGATATTTTAAGTTTTCTCAGATGCCCCTTCTTTGTTGATGTTTTTTGACATATATATTACTCTGATGCTAGAGCCTGGAATATAGCTGGCGCACTTTGATACATTTCATTCCTTTTTTGTGTGTCGGCCCAGATTTCAATGTCTTTCACACAGTATCTCGTGTGTAGTCTGGAATTTAAATCCAGATTGTGAATTTGTAATTCAGGTATTAATAAAATGGAGTAAAATGGGTATTGATATCTCCATTAATCACTTATTCACTTTTTCACATGAATAAACGAAGTAGGGGAGACCGGGGCTAGTTGTAACATGGCCTATAATTCCTAACACTCTCCAATTCTATAGTTATCTCCCTTGTAGCTATTAACATATCTGAGAGAAGACAGACTTACGACAGGAACTCGCACTAAATGACACAAAACATGTGTAATATCCTTTGTCTTTGTTGTGAGCATATCTACTTTTCATGTCCAACACAGGGGTCTCGCAAACTAATGGTAGAGTGAAGTGGCTCTCCCGGGTTGCCCTATTCTCGATGGGTAAGGGCTAGCCAAATGTAGCTATCCTCATTTCAAGACAAGTTGATACAAAGTATATTACTGTAAACAATTACGTCACAAGATTATAAAATGACTATCTCGAGCAGGAGACGACTCTTTAACCTTGAGTAAATGAAGTGCAATGAATCTTATCGATAAATACATAAAATCTCGCTCGGGGGAGTCATTTCTTCTGAATCGATTCTTCGGAATCGCTAAATTCCAACTACTGCTCATAAAGAATTGTCAAACAAGGCCTATATCGCCGTATATGAAGGGACTTGGCCACCTATGGTAAGAATAGGGCCTAAGTACAACTAAGACTAGAAAATCGTGACTGTTCGAACATCATACCAAACATTGAAAAAAGCATGAAGAATGA